GTCCCACCCGGGTTACGACCCCTCCCTGACATCCAGGCCCTGGTAAAGGCAGGGACAGGAAAGAAATGGGCCCTCCCCCACCCCCTGGCTTACAGTGACATGACAGCGGCTATGCCTAGGCCTAAGGCCCACAGCGGGCACAGACAGCCTGGGCTTGCAGACATGGGTCCTCACTGACGAGGCTGCTTTAAAGTGATGCTCTGCCGACACACTGACAGGAAGCACAGGGAGACGGAGGTCGGACCCCATCTCGCTGTAGCTGGTGGCGGGTATGGGTCCATGTGACACATTGTCATGCTGACGTGTTGGTACCTGCTACCCTCACATCTCCCATCAAACCGCCCAGAGCCGGGGAGGGGGTGGGGAGGGGTGGAAACTGCTTTGCACTATAATTTGCTTGGTGTGTTTGTTTTTAATGCACAACCTCCTTGTACAGTAAACTCTTCTGTATTATTTAACTGTAAAACGGAATTGTGACTGATTTGTTATAATATAACGCTGAGGTGTGTTGAAGGATCCAGTGCCAGGCTCCTAGGGCTGTGTGCTGGGGGTGAGGGAGGATGGAGACCCGCCCCCTCTCCCCCCGACTGTGGCCAAGGAGGAATGGGGCAGGGCCTCGGCCTGGGCAGGAATAGGACTAAGCCCCCTGCTGAGGAGACCCCCAGCGCCGTGGCCCCCCTGCGTCCGCTCCATCGGGAATGGCCACTGAGCCCACCCCGGGCAGGTGCGGCCACTGAGGCCTCCTGGGGCGGCTGGGGCGCCAGGGGAATGTCCGGTCTTCAGGTGCCACCACCCCTTCTCCCTCTCAAGTGGCCCAGGATTTTTCACGAGGGAATGGAAGAAACCACCCCTCGCAGCGTGTTCCCACGCGCAGGGTTGGGGAGAGGGCAGAACAGGTGGAGCCTAAAGCAGGCTCGGTGGGAGCCGCTCTGGGGCCCGAGCTGGAAGAGCAGCGACTCAGCAGCAATCAACTGCAGCGCATGCAGCTGGGTCAGCTCCCCCATTTTGCAGATGAAGAGACTGAGGTGCAAAGAGGGGGTGTCATCTGGCTTCACATCTCCCTGGGCGAGGACCGCAGCCTGCTGGTGGGGGCTGTGGGTGTGTGGTGTGGGGACCTGCCTTGGCAGCCCCCCAACCCCCAACCCTGCCAGCCAGGAGGCCTGGCCCACCCTGCCTGGCTTGTCAGGACTTGTGGAGGGGAATTTTCATAAACAGACCTTATTTTCAAGTGAACGTACCCACTTCAAAAGCGAGTCCCAAGATTTAGCCCTGTGCCGTTAGGTCGGTCTGCCTGAAACCCAACACCCAACAGGAAGTTGCCTTTCCCCAGCTGAACCCCACCCCACCCCCTAGCACCCCTCTGCCCGAGGGACCAGCCATGGCTGCGGAATTCCTCTCTGGGATGTGCTCTGAGTGAGGGGGCTGGTCCTGGAGCCGCGTCTGCAGGCGGACACTCTGCTTCCTTCTGTGAGTTTATCTGCGGGCACTTTGTAGGGATGATGGAGATGATGAGGGGACCACAGTTCAAGCCCCTCCCCACAGCCACACTTGGATGCCACAGCTGATGGGCGGGGAGCTGTGTTCTCCAGAGCCCCTGACGCACAGCTCCATCACCTTCACCCCACCAGGCGCAGACCAGCCCACCCAGCTTCCTCGGGGAAACTGGCCCAGAGAAGGCTGGGACTCACCCTGCCCCTCACCCCAGGTCACACAGTTTGAGGTCTCTGGGGGGGAGCACTGCAGTAACCACAGCAGCCTGCAGGTGGCAGCAGGTGGAGAGCGGATTCCCCTCCAGACAAGGGTGAGAAGGGGCTGCCTCCATAGCAGCCAGAATTCAGCTGAGGTGTTAGAACTTCCCGGCCCCTGGAAGGGCTGGGGAAAGGTCTTAATGTGGAAGGAGGGTTTTCTCTCCTCCTTTAGCTGTGTGGCTGGGGGGCGGGGGGGGGGGTCTGTCCCTCTCTGAGCCTCTTTTTTTATTCAGATCTTACATGAGCACCTACTGTGTGCCAGGTATGCAACTGAATTGCCAGCCGGTCCCATGCTCCCTCCAGGTTCTGCTTCCGGGCAGGGGTTTACTCTGCTGGAAGGGAAGGGTGACATCCCTGGCCCAGCAACCCCAGCCTCCCGGAGCCACCAGCGGGAGCTTAGACATGAAGC